GAAATAGGCCCGTCGGATTAAACTCACTTGATTCCCTTTCAGATCAACCCGTGGTGCTTCGAAACAGCGTCGAGACCAAATCAATGTCGAAATTCAGCGACTTCGAGATTTGTTACCCTTGTCGGAATCGATTAAGGATCGGCTGTTTCAGCTTCAAGTCATGTCGTTGGGATGCATCTACATCCGTAAGCATCGTTATCAAAAACACAGTAAGTTTTCTGTGAAGAAATTTTTAAAAAAGCAGAGGGCGGTTCAGGTCTGGACACCCTTGGCAACAAAGTTTACAAGCTCTCTTTTCTGTGGTTTTTAATTTTTTTTCATGGAGTCAACTTAGCGCTCCGCTGAGTGAACCCTCTCCTAATGGTGGTTTCAAACTGAGAATGCTTTCCAATTACAAGGGTTTTATGTGGACTGTTCAAAAGTATGGTTTTTTCAGTCCTGAGAACGATCGAAGAGAACAGTATTCCTTTGCCAAAAGGATTGGATTCCTGCAAAGCTCTCAGAGGGTTCCTGATCATGTTGAACAGAAGTGGCAAGCTGCTGCACGTATCCGACAATGCCAGCGAATACCTTGGACATTCTATCGTTCGTTTGTTTAACTACTCATTGCTTCATTGAAGGCATATAGCACGATAATTTGGTACTCGGTCTAAAATGCTAGCAGGGTACTATAGTGGGGAAAATGGCGAAAAAAGAAGTGAAACGGTCAAAAACCTGCGAAGAAAAGCCTCGTTCTTCATGACTCAGAAGCAATTTCGGACGAGTTTCCCGTAGGCATCGTGCCAATAACCGCTACGGTAGATACCTGCACGTATGTACTCATATATCCATGCAGCACCGCAGCCGCTTCATATCAATCCCTTCGCTTCATATTTTACTTCGCAAATGAAGCAATACGAGCATCAGGTACGGTCGTCCATTTGTGGGCGGGCGGGCGCGGTGGGCGTCCGGGTCGGTATGTTGCAGCTTGATAGGGCCTCATAAGGGTACCTTCCTCAGGAAAAGGCGCTATGCAGCGCCTGCTCAGGGGCGCGGAATTCTGTCCTACTAGGCTTATTGATCCTACTTGTCTTACTGCCTTTAATCCATTCGCTATTGTGTCCGCTATCGGTTATAAGCATCCGCTTTCAGTGATCATGGTCCCACTGCACCTTGACGTTTTTTTGAGGATTCATAAAAAACTCCATAACTTATCAGCGACGATTGTGAGGCCAAACGTCTACAATGTGTTTTTCAGGAGGAAATCATGTGCCAAGGTGATTCGATATTCGATTTGGTCGATCCTAGGGATCATCCTACGGTACACAACGAGTTGAATAGTGGCCCACAACCGACAACTTCATTTCCTGAAGAACGAGTCTTCCTTTGCCGGCTTAACCTAGCTAGAACTGCCAAACGCCAGTTACAGTATCACAAAGTATGAATACCTTTGTTTCAAATCCAATTTCAAAATTCAGTTCCAAATTTTCAGTTCATTCTTCTGCAGGGACGATACATTCATCCTGCAGAGTATTTTCAAGCCATCGCTGGCACGGCGGAAGCGGTGAGCTTGTCTTTTTTACGTAGCTCAGTAGGACAGTTCTAGACCCAAGATCACAGGTTACGAGTTACGCCTGTGACATGGTTCCTTTTCCCGTCATCATTTCGAAACACCGAAAACATCTACCAATAAGTCATTGCCTTCCGTCTCTACCCCTTTGGAATGCTTTATAACTTTTAAATCAGCCCGGGTACTCGGCGTACTTTCAGTTGAATTAAACGCGTTGACTCGTCATTCTGCCTTCAACCTGTGAAGAGCGGAGAGTAGCGCCTAAAGCCGCTTTACGCCTCACGGATCCCTTTTGAGCATCATTCCGGCGCAGTTTGGCGACGGAGGGGGGGAGGGGCATTTTGTCTTTTGTTGCTTCACTAGTTCCGGTTTACAAGTCTCACTCTGGTGAAACCTGTGAACTTTGTGAAGCTGGAGCAAGCTCGTCAAGCCATCATGGTAAAACCTGTCAACTCGAGAAGAGGCTGTCTAGATGGGAAGTCGCAAAAGTGCAAAATGTCCCCCCCTCACGTCACCCAACTGCGCCCATCATTCCCTTTGGAACACGCTTTCAGAGTTCTATTATCCGAGAAGTATGATAAGGCGATAAGGATAAGGGGAGGTGGTGCAGTTTTAGGTGGCAAGTTCACTCGCGCTCAGTCCAGTGGTCCAATCCCGTACCGGCGGCCGCTCAGTCCAACCAAGTCCTCTGCCTCTCAGGGATGGTAAACTGGTTCTAGACTAGTCTGGAAGGATAAGCTACGGACTTCCACGTCGGCTAGCACCCGCAAGTCACTCAGCAAGCCAGTGCGAATGAATAAGCCACATCGCATCCAAAAAGCCTTTACGATTTTCAATAGGAGTAGAATGCGTGCCGCATACCAAGAAGAGATTGACCAAAGGTAAAGACCTAATCCTCATCCTTGTGCTGAGATGAACATTCGGATGGGTTGGTTGCTGTATATCATTGCTATGAGATTTGAAGTGAAGCCAAATGAGGAGTGCATTTCACAGCGCTTGATCTCCAGGAAACCTGTTTTCTTCCTCTGTCGGATTGACTTTTCACTTATTTATTTAGTTACTACCTTTGCAGACTCAACCAATCTTTGCCGCCTATTGCCAGCCCGTAATCAATCCAGAGAATGCCGAAACGCTTTCCATGGGAAACACTGATGTCTTCAGCAGTCAGCATTTTCTCGATATGACATTCAAGGAAGTCGATCATATGTAAGTTCTTCTTACCAAGTAGTTGAGCAATTCTCAGCTATAGGTTTGGCTTGGGGTCGTATAATGGGTTTGCTCGAGGGACCCGCATCAGTGAAAGATTGCGAACTCTGTGAGAAAATGGTAAGAGAGCCCCGGTAACGCAATGGATATCGCACTCACCAGGTCAGCAAGAGATTCGGGTTCGAGTCCCGTATGGGGCTTGACCTTTACCCATAACTCAGCATTCTTGTGAAAATGATAGTCTACCGGTCCTACTGTAGGGTACCCCGGCTCACCCTCCCGCCGATTTGTTTTGTTCGCCTTTGAGAAATTTTGGGAGAACCAGAAGGAGGAGGTAGGATAGTTCGCAACGTGAGAAACTCGCGATCTAAAGCGAGGCCCACACCAACTGCAGCGGGGAGAGGCGGTCTTCACGGAGAGGTATGGGGCCAGGGGCTGGCAACACCCATCAACCATACAATTTTATTTTATTCACGCGCCATTGCTAGTTCATGAGTTTGGGCCTTCCTGCCCACGTGGAGGGGCGCAAAAACCGCCAGCAGGGTCCCGGAAAAATTGGCGAACGTATGTCTGCTCCAACACTACAGACCGTGTAGTATAAAATTGTTGACGCTATGTGCTAATCCATTAATTGAATATTTACGATTGACGTCAACGTAAACAAATGCTAAACAGTAGAGTGGACAATGAAAGTTGTAGGTCTCAGAGATCACTTTGTTCTCTGGTATTCCAGAGAGATTCCTCCATAACTGCTGAAGAGGCAATTTGAAGGCATATGGCACGATAAATCCCTAGAGACGAGTAGATCAGTACGCCTGGCGGGATGGAATTCCCCCTGAAGAGGCGCTATAGCGCCTTTTCCAAAGAAGGTCACTGTTAGTAGCGCCCTGATCAAAGCTTCAACAGTATCGAAGCTGGACGCCTACGCCCGGCTCGCTTACTGGAGTGGACGATGCCTGTATCTGTTTGGGCTCGTGATCGGCTCCAGGTTTTGGGCGAAGTAAAATGTGGAAGCGGATGGGATGTGGCTATGAGGCAGGGCGCAGTGCGGTGCATGGAGTACATGTAGTTACATGCGTGCGGGCCGTACCTACCGGTAGGCGGTTATTGCCGATGCTTCGGAAAGACTCGTCCGAAAATTTCACGCTCTAGAGTCCATGAAGAACTTGTTTTCAGGTTGTTTTGAGGCGTGCTGCTTGTTTTTTCACGCATTCTTTTTCACGCCACTATAGCATCCCCCTGCTTAGCGTTTTAGTAGGCCGCGTCAGCCGAAATTATCGTGCCAACTGCCTTTAAGCTGCTCTGATTCTAGTTCACATTCTTCAGTGCTGGTAAGGAGGGCGAGTCAGTCAATGAATGTTCAGGTGATTGCTGCTGTTAATTCAGATAGTTGGCAGGGGTTTTCTTTGCCGGGAGGAAACTGTATGGGAGCTCTTGTGGCTTACAGTATAATACAGCTCTTCTGTGAGGTAGATAAAAAGGCGCTCGCGGCGTCATGAGTGTAGCGATTAGCCGAGTGTCTGCACTCCGCCGCAAGACCAAAAAACAAACGCTGACATTTGGCCATCTGCAAGCTACGGAGTAGGCTGAAGTCGAACACAGTCGCAAACGTACAAACGCGACCACTGACAGCTCGCGACGATTCTCATATTCGCCCCGTCACTTGCCACCACTTGTGTCGAGGTTCTGCAAGTATAGAATCTGATGAATTTTCAAATGATCCGCCTCGTTTTGCTACTTGTTTACAGCATTTAGCCAGTTCGCGTGATCATTGAGCCCCTGGGATATACCCTTGTTCGCTGCGGAAGACTGGGTGTGTCACTAAGACTGGGCACGGCGCCAAATCCGTTTTCCACCAGTTGTTGATTCGGAAAAGCGACAAAAATTGGTGGAAAAAATTGTTGCGAACGAAATGATACATCCGTATCGCTTGCTCGCTTCAACATCTGGTGAGAAAGGGATTTTGTGTCGTGCCGAACTTATCGCTTCAAAACGCGCCCCATCGTCCGGTGCGAACAGGACTGTGAGGAATCCTGTGTTATTGGTGTTTTACACCACCCATTTGGCATTTATCAGGGCCTACAAACGCACAGCTTCATTGGTTTCGCATACTCATAGTACATGAAGTTGCAAAGAGAAGGGAGATGTTAGCAGGCGTGCGTTCTCGACCAATAGTAGTTGGTTCAGGCCGGCAATCCTTGGTTAAAAGCGCTACCGCTGGTGGGCTCATTGCACGCCTCCATACACCGCCTCGACGATTCGCATTGTAACACACTATACGTAAATCTATCAGTGAAATAATACGAAGGAGAGCTCGCAGTACTGGTGTGGGAAGCTCTATAATTTGAATATTCAAATAATTAATAATTTTAATAATAATAATTAATTAGGACGACAACATGGAAAAATATCACTTTTTCTTAGTAATAACTATTTTTCAGGTGCGCATATCATCTTGGATACCATCGCGAAGAGCTACAAGGACAGAGTTGGTATACTCTACTACATCCAGCACACATACCTGAAGTCGCTTACAAGCATCGACTATGTGAGTGTTGAAACAGGTTACTGGGTAAACTTGGAAGAGACGGCGCCAGCTACAGTATCACTAGGAGGAGAATGAGGGCAAATCACTCGGCAAGACTCGTCTTTGACGCGCCATGCATTCACATAGAACCCCAGAGGCAGCCGAACATACAGTCCTCATCATTGCGGACCGGTGGGGCGTGTCAGTGCGGCTGCGTTTGGCGCGGTGCCAAAGTCGTTCTGCACCAGTTGTTGAAGCGGGCAAGTGACATTACTGTATTATATCCTTCGTATTACTCGTTTTCTACCACTTTTGTCGCATACGCG